TTTGAATAGTGCGCCATCTTGGATCGCCGGGGCTTGAAGGAGACGCGTCCCTTTTATTGGGTGATTGACGGGACGAACAACCAATAGAAAACGAGGACGAGAGAAAGTGGCATAGAGCTCGCCTGCAGGCTCTAATGCCACATTATTTATTTTATATATATATATATATATATATATATATATATATATATATATATATATATATATATATATATATATATATATAATTAATTAAAACATAAAACCAGCCAGACATCATTTTGTTTGTCTTCCATCCCCCACTTGGCAAACACGTTCTCAACGTATGTATGTTTGCTTTTTTATTTTTGTAATATTCCGAACAAAATTGTTGTCTCCTAACGAGAGTTCTGTATATTTGTATGTATATTGTAATAATAATAAAAAAATAAATAAAAAAAAAACGACTTGGATTTCCTGTTTGTATCTGGATCAGAAGTAGATCTGTAAACATGCTATTCTATTACACCTCTTTTTCACATTACCACCACAAACGTCAGTATTTTAGAGTTTTCAAAGGAGGAGACACACGCAAACACGCAGACACACACACACACACAAAGAAACACACACGTTTACAGTCCCGGGAAAGGCCTGCTTTAATGTGCTTGCTGCTCTTAGCATTTAAAAATGCAGTTTTTTGGGAGAACGAAAGAAAATCACGGGTGCGTGAAAACGAACACAGAAACACACGTTTAATGTACTTTTTAATTAGGTTGGAGAAGCTACTTAGCATTTAAAAATTCTGTTTTTGGGAGAACGAGGGCTGCATGACGTACTGCCGTCGATGATCGCTCTGGTACAGGTGTAACGCCGAGATACACTGTCTTGAAGAGATGCACTGCCTCAGCTGTTTATGATGTAATGCAAACCTGCGCATGCGCGTCTCACGGCAACCAAAGCATACCGTGAATTGCTAAAAGTTGAAATACGAACGAATCAAGACACGAATGTCACTTTTAATGCAATTTGAGGCGAGATGTTGATGGTCCCGTTTTGTCACATGTGGGTTTTAAGAGTCAAAGTTTCGTGCAAAGTTTAGTTTAAGCAGTCAACTGCGCCTGTGAAACCACAAAGCTAATGTTTTCATAGCAGTCCGCGGCTGCTGACGTAGGCTGATGACGCGTCCTACACTGGTCTGTCGGGTTGATAATGGAAATAATAAATTTCATTCAATACATGTATCGTACTGTATTTAATATGACTAACAATAGTGTGTTCAAACAAAATATTTAATTAGATTGATTTTTTTCCCCATTTTCCATTATCAACCCGCCAGACCAGTAGAGTGGCCTACGTCAGCAGCCGCGGACTGCTATGAAAACATTAGCTTTGTGGTTTCACAGGCGCAGTTGACTGCTTAAACTAAACTTTGCACGAAACTTTGACTCTTAAAACCCACATGTGACAAAACGGGACCATCAACATCTCGCCTCAAATTGCATTAAAAGTGACATTCGTGTCTTAATTCGTTCGTATTTCAACTTTTAAAGCAATTCACGGTATGCTTCGGTTGCCGTGAGACGCGCATGCGCAGGTTTGCATTACATCATAAACAGCTGAGGCAGTGCATCTCTTCAAGGCAGTGTATCTCGGCGTTACACCGGCATGCTCCTTCTCCTGCAGCCGGTGGGGGTGGTCCTTCTCATCCGTGCGTCTGCTTCTCGTTCTGCCTTCGGAGTGATCAGAGCATTACGTTGCATTGCTTTTTATGCAGTGTAGGATTAGATATCAATATGGCCTACGTGCAGGACTCTACAAGGACTCTGATGATGACTCCATGTTTTGACTATGATGTGCACTGTCTCTGTGTGACACGTATGTCTTTCGATGTGTGACGTGACAATGACTATATAAACTGTGTACTGCCTTTATTCTGTCTGAGAGAAAGAAACAATTGAAACCACTGGAACTGAAGAGAAAGCTATACCCGATTTTTTTTCTAAGTAGTTCATAAAAATGCGTTTTACTACATACAAGTTGTATCATAATACATCATTTAATTGAAAACTTGAGGTAATTGATTCAGCTGTGTAAGAATTACAAGCAGTGAAAAGTGCTGAGTAGAGTCTGAGGGGGCCGCTCTTTCTCCTCCGCTCACAGAACGAGCAGCGAACAGCCTGCGTCCTCTAGCCTCTACAGCGCTGCTTAAAACCAGGGCTTCGACTTCAAAATTCGAATATAATTCTAAAATAAAAAATGAACAAAATAATTGAATAAAAAAATGTGAACAAATATTAGACAACCCTTGTCATTCGAAATGTATTTAATGACTGCAAATAAAATAGTTAGCTCCCAAAGGTTTCACCGGGACGTGCTAGGCAGGTAACAGCTAAGCTAGCTAGTTGTTTCATGGTAACTTCCGGGTTTTTCGCAATCGCTTTTTGTCACTTTAAAACAGTATTTTTGTCATGAAAACGTAAACAGCTAATTCTGAAATCATCCGTGCATGTGTGTTAAGGATGTATATGTGTACTGTATTGTCCGATTGACGTTTAATGGTGTTGATTGATAGATATGTAGTTGTTTATTGAGCGTGGCTAGCTCCGTTGGCTTCTCTACACAGACAAGTGTGTAGTGACAGGTGCTGATAGCTTGTTCTTGCAAAGTAATGGCAGTATTTTACACACCTGAATTACAAACAGAGGTTGCATTGGGGCTTCGGTCATTATTGGTTTGAGAGTTCTGTTATCAAGAAAAAATGATCAGAAGAATTGCTGCTACTGCTTTGAGGAGCTCTATAACACATTATAATTAAATATTAGAATATATTCTAAGGTTTTAAATTAATACATTCGGATGCGAAACTAGCGGTATTCTTTTACTTATATATTGTGTTAGCAGTGCGTTACTTTAGTGCCATTTCATCAGTGATTGTTGCACAGCTTACAAGAAGTTGCGCTAATGCTAATGTTAGCATATGTATCAGATCGCAAATAAAACTAGGTGGCTCTGTGTTATGAGAGCGTAGGGGAAATGAGAAGCCATTGAGCGAGTTGGGGGGCGGTGCTAAACATTCAAACATTGCAGAAACGGGTATATCGCCTTTAAAGAAGCTATACCCGATTTTTTTTCTAAGTAGTTCATAAAAATGCTTTTTACTACATACAAGTTGTATCATAATACATAATTTAATTGAAAACTTGAGGTCATTGATTCCACTGTGTATGAAATTCAAGCAGTGAAAAGTGCTGAGTATAGTCTGAGCCGCTCTTTCTCCTCCGCTCACAGAACAAGGAGCGAACAGTCTGCGTCCTCTAGCCTCTACAGCGCTGCTTAACACCAGGGCTTCGACTTCAAAATTCGAATATAATTCTAAAATAAAAAAATATATACATATTTGAACAAATATTAGACAACCCTTATAATTAGAAATGTATTTAATGACTGCAAATAAAATAGTTAGCTCCCAAAGGTTTCACCGGGACGTGCTAGGCAGGTAACAGCTAAGCTAGCTAGTTGTTTCATGGTAACTTCCGGGTTTTTCGCGATCGCTTTTTGTCACTTTAAAACAGTATTTTTGTCATGAAAACGTTGACAGCAAATTATGAAATCGTCCGTGCATGTGTGTTAAGGATGTATATGTGTACTGTATTGTCCGATTGACGTTTAATGGTGTTGATTGATAGGTATGTAGTTGTTTATTGAGCGTGGCTAGCTCCGCTAGCTTCTCTACACATACAAGTGTGTAGTGACAGGCGCTGATAGCGTTTTGTACTTGCAGAGTAATGGCAGTATTTTACACACCTGAATTACAAACAGAGATTGCATTGGGGCTTCGGTCATTATTGGTTTGAGAGTTCTGTTATCAAGAAAAAATTATTGGAAGAATTGCATTCAAGTCAATGGAGTGCTGCTGCTGTGAGGAGCTGTATAATAAATTATAATTAAATATTAGAATATATTCTAATGTTTAAATTAATACATTTGTACGCGAAACTAATGGTATTCTTTTACTTATATATTTTGTTAGCAGTGCGTTACTTTAGTACCATTTCATCAGTGATTGTTGCACAGCTTACAAGTTGCGCTAATGCTAATGTTAGCATACGTATCAGATCGCAAATAAAACTAGGTGGCTCTGTGTTATGAGAGCGTAGGGGAAATGAGAAGCCTGTGAGCGAGTTGGGGGGCGGTGCTAAACATTCAAACATTGTAGAAACTGGTATAGCGTCTTTAAATAAACTTCCGGAGATTGGCGCACCACGATCCGTCTCTGTCTGGTTCATTCTTGACAGCAGGAAAAGTGGGCGAGCATTCTCCAAAGGCATACATATTTCTCAAAAGATGTTAAAACAATATTTTGATGAAATACAGAACATCTATATAACTACTTCGAATATAACTGGAATTTCTAAACACAGACACAAATAATGAATTTTAAAATAAACGTTTTTAAGAGTTATATGTTTTAATTGCAAGCTCGTGCTTTTAAATGTTAGGCTCTTCTTAGTATTCTTTTCATAAACTATATACAATTTATATAATATATAATACGTTTATAGTCCCGGGGAAAGGCATGCTTTCTTCTTCTTCTTAATATATTTCCGGCAGGCTGTACACTATAGAAGTGTAATGCTGCCCTCTCCGTTCAGGTTGATACTACATTATTACACTCGTTGGTACAAACTGGCGGAGAGAAGGAAGGATACAACTGCTTTGTCGATCAAACGCGAATTCTTTACCGAGGAAAATATAGAAAAGGCATGCTTTAATGTGAGATAAACGCTTTATTTAGCTTAAAGGCCATCATGTTGTCTTGTTGGAACGCGGCGTGGGAATGAATAACCCAGATTCGAAAATTAGAAAGCAGGGCCTTTTAGCGCGGACGTGATTGAAGACTTCGGCCCCCAAGGGGGCACACCCTCTCCCCCCCGGGGAGGAGTGTCCACGTATTTGGGTTTAAAAAGAGGCACAGATGGAACAGCGTTCTCTCTTTGTTCAGTGTTCCTGAGACAAGTTTTGTCCGTGCTTTTGTTGCAATGGCTCCAAACGGAGACTATCACGTGTGTCCTTTCTGCCGTAAGCCGCAGTACTGCCTTCCAGTGCACCTGCGTCGTTACTGTATGAAGATGGATACTGAGGCAGCCCGGTCTGTTGTTATTGATGAAGCCAAGATTAAAACTGCGGAATTCCTGCGGACCGGCCGATTCTTCGACTACAACCAACTCGCGTCTATTATTGAATGCCCAGACACTTTAAAAAGGTTGGTTATCACATTTTTTTGTAATGTCTCTCATCCGCTCTGTCTTTCATTATTATTAACATTCTATAGTATTCTATAGTATACATAGACCTTACCTATTGTTGTTCAAGGGTCCCACTTGAACCTAGATTGTAGACCCAGGACTTTTGGTCCTGGGTACTCTGGTCTCTCTCTGGTAACTCTCTGGTCTCTCTCTGGTCTTTCTGGTCTAATAAATGTGTTATATATCATCTGCTGTGTCAGTGTGACTGAGACTGTGAGCAGCCCCCTCCACCTTGACCACTCAAAGGTGTGAAAGTGTCTTTTGTTCTGACCTATTGTTTCACAGCAGGAGGCTGCATGGCTGGGAGACAGAACACACACACACTGTATAAATCTGAACTCAGCATTTCACCTTTACCTGCACAATATTTTATACTACTACTTTCTCTGGTCTCTCTCTCTGGTCTAACCTGTAAAATTTTGACAGCCCTAATTATTTTATTAGTTAATGTTCTGTGTTCTTTCCCAAGTTTTATTGATGAACTGAAGAGGCGTTCATTGGTCGTGCGGGGTGAGCCCTGCCCTCAGTCCAATGAGGCTGGAGACCTTGTAGACCAAGCAGACCTTGGAGACCAAGAGGAGACATCTGATGAAAGCTGTGACTTTCAAGAGTATTATCAAGATGACACTGATCAGAATTATTCCACTGCAGTCAAGAAAACAAGGTAAGTTGTAAATTACACGACAAAAGTACTTGTCCTCTCTCTGAAACTTGTTCTCTCTCTCGTTCTCTGGTCTGATTTACATTTCATTACATACTTATACATGTACAATGTCTAATCGTATTCTGATTTTTTTTGTCCAATGTAGTGCTGGACCTTCAGGGCACTATGCTGGCCTCGAGGATCCTGTGAATGTGCCCAAAGACTTTCAGAAGAGACTTGGCAGTCGCTGGAGAAAAAAGCAGTTTAACCTGCGTGTAGAACACACCCGTGGTGAGTATTGTCTGACCATATTTCAATTATTTAACCATAAAAATGATTGAAAAGTTTTTATTTAATGCATTATTGTTTTATAATTATTGTATCCATAACTAACAAACTTTTGTTATTTATTTTGACAGCTCATTTCAGTCGGCGTCTGCCAACAAACGACCATCTCAAAAGCTGGCTGAAAAGACAAGGTTGGAAGAGAACAGACGACATCCTTGAGGAAGTTCTCACAAACTGGGCACCATCTGGATCTGAGGACCGACTTCAGGACAGCAAGGAGATCCAGGATCATTAAATTCGATTATGGAGTCAGCAAGAAGTCTTTTGGTGCAGAGGGTGGAGAGCTCAACTGGCTAAATGCATAGCCACTGAGCCTCTGCCTACAGACATTTTGACACGTCCCAGATCCGGTGAAGTGTCAAATAATTGTCTGTTGTCCTCTCTCTGCATGAAAAAGATGGCCACAACATTGCACCATTGAAGTGGATGGACAACAGCAACATGTGACTCTTTTCCTTGCAACCAGGACTTTTTCAGAGGATGAGGTGCTGCTTGCCAAAGGGCTCTCATAGCCACTGGGCCTCGGCCTCCAGACATTGACACGTCCCAGATCCGGTGAAGTGTCAAAAGTCTGTTCTCATCTCTCTGCATGTAAAAGAACTACAACTTCTACAATCTGAATCATCGCTGAGCCACTACTTACACAAAGACAATGGACCTGATTTTGTTTGGATTGTAAATATGTTTATCCTGGACTTTCATTTTCGGAAATAAATCATTATTTGTGCATTAACATTTTATCTGGATCCTCCTTCACTTCAACTCATGACAGAACCATGTGTGACTCTGGTCTCTCTCTCTCACACACTAGTCGCCCTCTCTCTCACTGGTCTGGTCTCTCTCTCTCTGGTCTAATAAATGTGTTATATAATATCATCTGCTGTGTCAGTGTGACTCTGAGACTGAGCAGCCCGAGACAATTTGGAAATTTAACATTTTTATAGGCTCTAGTATACTTCTCTGTATACAAACAAAACCAGGTTGTCACATTGAGAAACTTTCACAGAGATGAAACATTGCTCTGGATGTGGACGTTATATGCCATACTTCTTCTGTAAAGATGTGACAGAGGATGACTCAAGGTGACTTTGGTGAAGAAAATCAAAGAGCTCCTTTAGCACTAGAAAAAAACATAAATCCACAGTATAAATATATCAGTCACTTTAAAAGTTACATTTTGTTACTTTCATGTAAGGAATAAAAATACCTTTCTTCTCTGCAGATGACATGAACATGACTGCCATATCAAAACGTCTAACACTGGCTAAATTATGGAGTATTTCAAAAGTGAGGGCTGGCGTTTCATTCCTGCAGAAAAGTGGCATGAGTTACAGTGCATTGCGAAAGTATTCAGCCCCCTTGAACCTTTCAACATTTCGCCACATTTCAGTCTTCAAACATAAAGATATAACATTTTAATTTTTTGTCAAGCCAAGAGGCCCATGATCACTCTGGATGAACTGCAGATAACTACAGCTGAGGTGGGGATGGTGTGTTCAGGGTGATGAGCTGTGTTGCTTTTACGCCAAACATATCGTTTTGCATTGTGGCCAAAAAGTTTGATTTTGGTTTCATCTGACCAGTGCACCTTCTTCCACATGTTTGGTGTGTCTCCCAGGTGGCTTGTGGCAAACTTTAAATGAGACTTTTTATAGATATCTTTGAGAAATGGCTTTCTTCTTGCCACTCTTTCATAAAGGCCAGATTTGTGCAGTGCACGACTGATTGTTGTCCTATAGACAGACTCTCCCACCTCAGCTGTAGTTATCTGCAGTTCATCCAGAGCGATCATGGGCCTCTTGGCTGCATCTCTGATCAGTCTTCTCCTTGTTTGAGATGAAAGTTTGGAGGGACGGCGGGTCTTGGTAGATTTGCAGTGGTCTGATACTCCTTCCATTTCAATATAATTGCTTGCACAGTGCTGCTTGAGATGTTTAAAGCTTGGGAAATCTTTTTGTATCCAAATCCGGCTTTAAACTTCTCCACAACAGTATCTCGGACCTGCCTGGTGTGTTCCTTTGTCTTCATGGTTCTCTCTGCGCTTTAAACAGGACCCTGAGACTATCAAAGAGCAGGTGCATTTATACGGAGACTTGATTACACACAGGTGCATTCTATTTATCATCATCAGTCATTTAGGACAACATTGGATCATTCAAAGATCCTCACTGAACTTCTGGAGTGAGTTTGCTGCACTGAAAGTAAAGGGGCCGAATAATATTGCACGCCCCACTTTTCAGTTTTTTATTTGTTAAAGTTTAAATTATCCAATACATTTCGTTCCACTTCTCGATTGTGTCCCACTTGTTGTTGATTCATGACAAAAAAAAATAATTTTTATATCTTTATGTTTGAAGCCTGAAATGTGGCAAAATGTTGAAAGGTTCAAGGGGGCCGAATACTTTCGCAAGGCACTGTATATGTATACACACACACACATTATGTTATCATGTGCATTTGAACATACTTGATGTAAAAAGTATGCAATGTCTGCAGGATCTGGTTAAGAATACATGGTTCGAGCGAGTTGTGGAATATCTTCTGGTATGCCTCTGGTTTAATTTGCTGTAGGGAGAGAGCAAGGAATGTTCATGAGAGGCAGCCCCCCTTTAACACTCCTATTGCAAATGTGTAAAACGTATTTGAAAAGCCTCATTGTGTTGTCAATAAAGTTATGAGCTTCAGTATCAAACCACCTACTTTCACATAGGAGTAAATGATTTCATCTTGAGATCCAATTTTACGAAGGTCAGCTTCAAATTGAAAGCTGTTGAGTGGAGGAGGAGGGAGGTCCATGACTGGTGAAGAGGGTTGGACTGATGTATTGGGAGCAGAAGTAACTCTAAGTGACGGAGGTTTTGCTTCAGTGGATCTAACAAAAACAATAAACAAAAAACAGAATTGCTTTTAATACTAATAATAAATTGGTTTTATATAGCACTTTTCTAGACATTCAAAGGTGTTTCACATGTAATTATTCATTCACTCCAAACTCTGTGGTGGTTTACAACAGCAGCCACAGTTGCCCTGGGGCACAATGAGAGAAGTGAGGCAACCAGTATGTGCCATCAGACCCTCAGACCACCACCAACCATTCACACACACACCAGACTCATTCTGGGTCATGTGGGTAAATGTATTGCCTAAGGACACACCAGTTTGGCACTTTACAGCCACAGCCGTCCCACTGTGGCACCTGGTGTTCCCAAAGGTCTCCCATCACAGTACTAGCCAAACCCTGTCCTGCTTAGCTTCAGAGGTCTGACGGGATCTGGCTTTCAAATGCAGGTATGACCACAAACCTTTGCACAGCCACTTGTACGTACACTACTTGAACATGAGCAATGTGACTCACAGTTCTGACTGACACGGTGAAGGATCTGGAAGTTCTTCCATTTTGATCATCTTGGCGCTTGGGGACGTCGACCGTGGAGATGTGTCCTCTGGAGCTTGATCCGCATCAGGGATCTCCCTCACTGGTACAGGAGGGGCCAACACTTTCCCATTCACTTCTTCTATGTTGATTTGCATAAGAGGTTTCTACATACGGTGAAAATGCATATCTCAAATTCCAATTAAAAGTTATTCATTTTGGAAATACAGTTAAAGATGTGTTCAAAAAGAGCATGATTTATTAATGCCTTTTGACATATTAGGGCCATTTAATTATGACTTGACATGCAAATCTTACATATTGCTACTTTAGTAATAAAAATAAAAATATGTATATCATTCATAATTTATTCATCATTTTCTTGAAGAATCCTAATGTGAAATGTTATTCAAGCTGCAAAGTAACTCACTGTGGACTGCAGATGTTTCGGTTTATCTATTGGTTTGACGGTTCTTCTTGGTGTGCAATCAGGGGACAGTACACATCCAGTAGAAACATCCTAATGAAAAGGCAATATTTGATTTTTACTTTAAACTCTGGTTCTCTCATTAGTCATGATTCTGGTCCTTGTATGCACTAGACCTGTATTTTTTGAAGCTCGTTCAAGGCTTGCTTGTTTCCAGGTTCAAGTTCTAAAACTTTTTGAAAATCTGTGAATGTGTCACAATGAAAGTAAGTAAAAAAGACAGATATTGTTCAAATAACTTTCAATATTACAGGCGTTGTTGATTACCGTTTTTGGCCTCATCAAGTTTTCCTAAGGACACTCTGGCTGTGGCTCGTCGTGCAAACGCTTTGGAGTATGTGTTGTCCAGAGAAATGGCCTTGGTGCAGTCTTCCTCAGCTTCCTTAAACCTAAAGCAAATCCATTGACATTGAAAAAACAAAACTCCATAATTTGTTTACGATCAAGCTCATTTAGCTCGTAAAATGATCCAATTTTACCTCTCGAGTTTAAGGTAGGCCATTGCTCTGTTCGCTGGCAAAAGAACATTCATACTGTCAGCTTCCATCCCTCTGGAGTAGCACTCTACAGCCACTTCATACTTTCCCTCTTTAAAATAAGCATTTCCCTAAAAAAAGAACAAAATAAGTATAACTTCCCAACAATGCACACATCTCTCATTGGAATATGATGAACAGGAGAAAACAATCAAATACATAGTTTATAAATGATTTAAAATGTACTGAAATACCCTGTCTTTTTGAAACACCGCCTCTTGTTTTCTTTGCTGTTCCTCCATTAGCTTTTGCTGCTCGGGGTCAACTGTCGGGGCGTCTTTGGTCAATATTGTTTCTTCTGTTGGAGCGGCTATACGGGAACCAGTAACCTGAACAAAAGAACGACCATTTGACTAGCATGTTTAGAAAATTACACCTTGGGATGTGCTTGCTTGGAACTAACCTCCTTTATTTTTTTCACTTCATTCTGCGCCTCGATGTTGCCCGGATCGAGTTTGAGAGCAGTTTCATAATCTATCAAAATGAATCACCATTACAGAACAATAGGAATGAGAAGCACAAAGCACAAGATAAGATATATTGTTCACAAGATAAATGAACAATAACTTAATAATTAAAAAAATCTCTAACGCTTGCATGAAGGAGAATCTCTACCTTTGGCATAATAATGAGAAGCACCGTGTATTCTGTGTAATCTAGTGAGAATATTAGTAATGTATAGTAGTATGTATACATCGCTACAATAACTGTGGATTTAGAATCAGACAATGCGCCACTTTCACACCAATCACCTTCTAATGCAGGTTCATATTTCTGTTGAGCAAATCGCGCTGCTCCTCTTCGTAAATAAGCCTTCACATACTTGCTATCCAGCGCAATAGCCAAATTACAGTCTGACTCTGCCACTGCATATCTGAAAAAGCACTATTAGTATGCATGAATGAATTGAGATTTGTGGATGCAATTAAACTAAACTTACTTTTTGAGTCTGAAGAAGGATGTAGCTCTGTTTGTTGGAAGCACTGGATTGTAAGCGTCAGCAGCCATTCCTCTGGTGTAACACTCAATAGCATCATCGTATTTACCCTCTTTAAAATATGTGTTTCCCTAAGAAATAAGGAAATACAAATAAGCCAATGCTGTGTTGTGTGTTTATGTATATATATGGTACTTTTTCTTTCTCAGCAAGGGCCTTCTCTCGATCCACCGCAATCTCCTCGGGGTCTGATTCATTTGACTCGACTGGACTTTCTTTATCCATTTCTTCCAAGACCTTGTCCTTAAAGTACAAAAACACTAAGCAGATAATACAACAAATAACATGAATAACTCAACTGTACGACAAACTTACCACATTAAATTTATCCCAGGATCTGTAATCATATCCTTTTATTCTTTGGTTTTTCTTGTCTGTATTTGCATTTCCCTTGTCACCATGGCCGTTACATGCAGAAGCTGATTTCGTTTTTTTCTTATCCCTCATCTTTGCTTTGTAATCTTTGTTGCGAATAGGAGGGAGATTTTTCTGTAAAATGAGAAAAGGGATACGTATTAGAATAATGCAATATGAAAAAATTGTTAGCTATTCAAATATACACTTTAAATCTCTAGTTAATCCATTGTACATTCATACAAGAAACAATGTTTGTATTCATGCCTTTATAAGCAAATTCTTCGTTTTTGACTTCCTGAAAATAATAATAATTTTAATAATTTGTGATTCTACAGAAATAAAATCATATTTCTATTGGATGCAGTAAAAAGGCTCAATCGTGTTTTCAGAATAATATAAACCCAAAGCTGCTTACCTCTTCTTCTCTCTGAACTTCTCCAGATCGGAGCTGCTCATCCTTCCTCTTGATGTCTTCCTCCCATGTGTCCAGCTCCCGCATAAAACTGTGAAGATCTTCAGCATTTTGGCGCATCTGAAGCTGCAGTTCAAGGGCTTTATTTCCACCCGACATGGCTTTGCTAAAATGACGAACTCTCGCTGCAGGTTGATTTTAATCCAAGTTAGAAGCTATATTAACACGAACAACGAAAACAAAACTTAGCTTCGCATAAAAAGTAAGCGCACTAATATAGTTTGTTAATTATAAGATGTATATTTAACAACACGCAAAAACCGTAGCCTGACAAAAGAACCAAACCCACCTTACGTATGCCTTTAACGCTTGTGATAGAAGTGGAAAAACATCAGGCAGATTTGTTTGTGTGAGCAGCCATGACAGCAGCCGTTGCTATGACGCATGCGCAGAAAAGTGCCAAAGATCGTCTATGTAGAAAAGAATCATTCAACAACAGCATGAACATAGTTAAAAACTAAATTTTTTACAACAAGATACCAGTGTCAAGTTATATTTATGTAATAGCTATATCGCATGTGTCACTTTTCATCCGAAATAGTTGGGGATATTTAAACCTGAAACCTTATTCTTTGTGGTCCAACACAAGCTTTGTTGTCGACCGAAACCTTTTTTATAATCATTTCTAATGCATTAATACAATATACAACTGTCACCAACCGTCAACACATACAAATATAAAAAGAAAAACCGTAATATCAAATCACCCCAGACTGCAAAGAAACAGCAACCATCTATGTGTACCATACTGTACGTGCCCATACCGTCTATGTGCGTACGTGAGTCACGTGACCTACAATGCAGAAATGACCTCTTCTTTGGCTAGCGGCAGCTAACAGCGCTACATTTGCTTTTGTTATCAAATTGTGAATAATGGAACAGAAAATGGACCAGACAAAACAGGACGAGGATTATGGCTACGATGTATTTCCCGGGAGAAACAATACAAAGTACAAGAAGGGATCAATCGTAGAGACTCTCTTTACATTCAACCACAAGTGTCAGGTCATGTTGCAATTCGCAGTAGATACAAGTAAGTACAGAACAGGCTGTCTGCCTTCTTATATCAAGTTGTCAATGTGTAAACACTGTGTTGCATTCATAGTGTCTTGATGCATGAATGGTCTGAATGGTTTATAGTTATGCTAGTTTATCTTACGGAAACACAGGAAATCGGTTTAACCAAGGTATTATGTTTTCCCTAGGCCCCTATGCCAAACTCCTTCTCAGTGCAATGAAAAATTCTGGATGGTACGTACCAAGCATGACAGTGATGTACTTTCACATTTCTCGATCACTCAAAGGATTGTGCTGTCAATCAAGTGAATCATTATTTAGTAGGTTATGCTTTAGTTTTACAAAGTTGTTCTGTAAATAACTGGTTAATGCAGATAATGCTGGGAATCTCTTTTCTTATGAGTTTTCTAAAAACATTTTTTTTTACTTTTCCATTTCTTCATCATCCTCTAGAGTTAGAATTGACATTGGTGTGTATCCAAACTGCCTTGTGTCTATAATTTATTCTTTATTATTAGTTCTCTCCCATAATCTACCAGCTCCCAAATTCTGGGTCTGCACTAGTATCTATTCAACAGTACTGAACCCCACTATTTGGCTATCTATCTTTTTGGTTATTCTTTATGCAGCATATTGTCTTAACTGGGTTAAAAATTGCTTTGATTATTACTGACCTGCATTTGTTATACATTACAGCCAAGTATTTAAAGACAGACATTTTGCCTGTGAAGACTGTGATGGCTCAGTCAGTGGTGGATTTGATGCAGCCTCTTCACAAGTATGCCCACCTTTGCCAATAAGACATGTGTACTTTTCCCATCACGGAAGAATTGGAAGAAAATTCAAATGTTAATGTACTTTGCAGATCGTTTTGTGTCAAAACAACATCCACCAGCAGTCTCATATGAACAGGGTTGTCACACATGAGCTCATTCATGCCTTCGACCACTGCCGAGCTAATGTGGACTGGTTTAATAACTACAGACATCTGGCGTGTTCTGAGGTGAGGTGTCATCTTCTTTCTCTCCCATAGACAGCCTTAAAGCAAACTTCTTTGTTTCGTAAATGATGCATGTTGTTTATCCTAAAAAAATAGTGCTGTAAATGTAAAAAAAAAAAAACATGAACATGTTACCCTTTGCATACCCATCATCCTTTTGGTTAACTTTTCTCTGAAAAAGGTGATAAAGACATGACGGAGGCCAAAACATGCATGTACAATGCATGGGAAAACTAGTGCGAGAACTGATCTGTTTTAGAGCCATTAACTAGTTGCATGCAGAGGCGTCCCTTACCATTAGGCAAGGCAGGCAGCTGCCTGGGGCCCCCAAACCGGCAGGGGGCCCCCGAGAGCCGACTGATTTGACACAAGTTGTGGACTTGTACAGGCTACAACAGCTACCTGCAGTGACGAGCAAAAACTTTTTGTCTGATAAAAAACTTGCCACGTTCTTCATTAACAGTTGAAAATCCTGCCTGGGGACACCCATGTATTGTATGTAATAGCTGTCTAGTGGTTGAGTTGCAGCGCTTGTGCCGAGATGGCCTGAGTTTGAATTTGGGTGAGATCTGTATTTTGGATTAAACTATATATATTATATCCTAAGACTGATTGCTCAAGAACCTTAAACGTTAAAAAACAAACAGTTTTTTGCAGATTGAAGCTAAGAGCCTAATCTTTGTTTATCGGTGTTTATATAGTAAACACAGAGGGCCAAATTAAAGATTAGATTTTGTAGGATTAATACACTTTGATAGGTAGTTTTTGTAATGAATTATAACATAAGTGTAGTGAACAAGCTTATAAAAATACATGCTAAATTATTTCTCATTGCTTTGTGTCACGATAAGTTCTGATGTATTCACACTCGAAAAGTGTGAATACATCAGTCTATCCATTTATTGTTAAAAATAAGAAATTATCTTCATTTAATTTATATTAATGTAAACAAGTAATAGATTGCATTTTACCTTATTATTAAATATATATTTGTACCTACTGTAATATAAACCCTTTTATGTGATTATGTGGTCGGTATCGAGGCCCCAAGGACTCTGTTTCCTGGGGCCCCGGGGTACCCTTGGAACGCCACTGGTTGCATGGATTTGTGCATACTCTCGCGTCGCTCAATTTTTGTCTGGTCTGAAAGTCAAGCAACTCAACTATTAATGACTGCATGTTTTATCGATACAGTTCAAAACAAATAATAATAACATGGAGGACTCAACATTAATAGTCCAATCTATTGTTTGTGCTTCACCGCTGCTTGTTTCCCAAATGGGAAAGTGAAAGTAGTAGATGAAGTCAAATGCTATGAGCTTAGTTATAAAGAATTAACAATGTAATGATCATCTAAATAAATATAAGAAATGTTTTAGTCTGGTCTGTAACTAACAATGTATTGATAAACTTATAATTATAAGGTCTACATGTTTTAACCACTTTAAAGCCTGCTGTTTCAAAATCAGTTATTCACTGAATGTGTTTTTAAATAGAGTCCAATAATAATAATAGTTCTATAATGGAGTATCAGGTTCAGGCTACGTCACATTGGAAAAGTGCTGGGTTTTGGATGAGCCGTTTTCTTGAAAGAAGTAATGATTTGAAAGAAAACCACTTGTATACTTTTGGCCCCAACCAGCTCTTATGTTTTCTAAATTTGCCCCCCAACCAAAATGAGTTTGACCCCTCCTGCTTTAGAACACTGAGAGAAGCTAAAATCTAAATTCAGTGTCCATCAAAGCTCTGCCTGTCCACTGCAATGCCTCTTTACAATATTCAAGTCATTCAGGAGAGCTCAGCTAATCAGGTGGTGGTGGCTGTAGTGCGTTTTTGTTATAATGTTTTGTCTATTAACCATTATTTATCCGGGAAATAAGCGCTACTGTTACTTAAATGTGCTTTTTTTCATAATATTTGTTTCCCATATAGATTCGGGCTGCGAACCTTAGTGGAGACTGTGCATTTAACAGCGAAATCTCAAGATTCCACTTTGGCCTAAAAAAACACCATCAGGTACTTCCTCCAACTTGCAACTGTCTTCGGTTCATTTATTTGTGTTATTGTGTATAAAACCCTTTTCACGTCTTTCAGGAATGTGTCCGAGGCCGTGCCCTCCGCTCCATCCTGGCCGTGAGGAAGATAAGCAGAGAAGCAGCAGAGAAAATAGTTGATGAAGTGTTCGACTCTTGTTTTAATGACCATGCTCCGTTTGGACGCATCCCCCACAGCAAGAAGGACGCCAAGTTTGCCTACAGACAATTTGAAAGCAGAGATCGATATAATGCCAACATTTAATGGCACGTCTCATTTAACTCTCAGCGTGAATGAGCGTACAAACTCTAGACACTACTTTATTTATAGCCTCAGCTGTCAAGTAATCTAACATCTCTTCTGAAGGGATTTCTGTGCGTCCTTGGCTTATAAATTGAAGAATAAAACATTTCTCCTTTCTGGACAGTAATCCTGCATAAAGAGATTATAAGGACTGGAATCACCTTGAAAGTATGAGCCAAGGATGCTGTGATACTTTAGTGCAATCAGCAGAATTGCAAAGGTTTCTTTGTTGTTTCTGCAACTTCAATTGACTGTACTTACATCTAAGAGAATAAACACACAGTTTTACTACATTTCACTTGAATATGATAATTGTGATACTTATCCCTTAAGCGGAAAAGTAGTAGAATCAATAGTGTATACTGAATATGTATTCTTAAATATGTTTTATTTATTTCTGTCATTGATTTTAGTAGTCCTCCTTCCCGCGTGGATTTCACATCAAGTTTATTTATTTTAGTTGATATAGGCACAATAGTTACATTGGATGGACCATATGCACTGCCCTATAGCAAGACCATGCTAATTTTCCATAGGAGGCTTTTAGGACATGAACATTTACAAATATAAAAATAATTAAATGTACAATTAATTAAACATGTGAACATTTTCACTCCGATTTCAGCCACAGTTTCAGACGTCTGATGAAGATGTTTATGTGTCTGTACTTTTAGGTCAGTGGGAAGAACGTTCCACAGTCTGAAAGCTGGACTGTCAAGAAGATAGATACTTTATTGATCCCTTGTAGGATAAATCCAGGGATCCAGAAGCAGCAGCAACACACCCAAACATACAAACAAAACGGATAAATATATAATTGTGAAAGTAGTTTAACAATAATAGATGTTCTGAACTTAGGAACCACCGTCCCCACTGACTGAGACTCTGGTGTTAGGTCCACGAGAGCCTTGAACCAGAGAAAGCGGAACATGATCAGTTAAACAAAATTTTACTTGAGAAAAAACACATTAAGGGTTAACTCGTCAACGGTGGCCAGTGTTCAGAGCTACTCAAAAATGCCTTATCGATTTAAACTGAAGTGATACTTGCGAATCACTAAGTAAGTGTTAAAATTGTCATTATTTTTATTTGAGTTTTCATCCTCAATATAAGGCTATTTTTCAGTAAAACGTTCCCCCGTGGCAACTCGAGCCGCTGAAGAATCTTGTCTCCTTCCAAAGAATTAACAAGGGACAAAGTTAAATGCGCCTCAGAAGACCAGCTTTCCTCTGTCCTACATATCTCTATTACAGCACACACTCAAAAGCCCCAGTCATTCTGCCAATGTGCTGTAATCATACCAGAGCGTAATATACCACTTACTGTATCTCTGAAGTGTCTGCTGTCAAAACATGGGCTGAACAATGAGTGTGGGTGGGATGGGAGGGCCAAAGAAGATTAGGTTAATTTTAGCAGCTTAGAAAATGATCAAAAGAGCTTCCAACAAGAGGGATGAAGGAGGAAATGAGTTTTAGGCTTAATACAATGTCATACACAAGTTGAGAAAACAGACAAATTATTACATATGTACACATTAAATATGAGTTGTTTATAATCTGGTGCTATATTTTCGTTTAGTGTTGTATGAATAGACAAACACTCAAGTGCAGGATTACATTTTTTAAATACAAAAGCATTAATATAAATGTCAAAGCAATATTTCCCACATAATTTGTTAAAAGCACATTTTCTATTTATACTGATACGAGTTTTTTTTTTTTCATTTTTATTCTGATAAGCGTCTTTATAAACACGCTAAAACATAGTCATAATTTAAACTAACAACAATACAATTCAAATGTAAATGATCATACTAAATTGAACTAAAAATGCAATTATAAAACTATGTTGTGATAAACAGTATTGAGACAAATACTAAAGCTGAAACCTGTGACCAAATTCAGACCATATTGTGCCTATACAAAAAATGTGATGTTTTGCATACTTGTGAGAGAAAGTAAAATTTGAATAACTCTACCTCAGCTGTAAGTCAGAAATGTAAGTAATTTCATTCTAAATTAAATATTATGTAGATATCATATAAGGAGCTAACTTGCTAATAGATATCTCAGCTTTGAAAACATGTATAACATTTTTATCCCTCTTCCAACAATCTTCAACATGTTTTGTTTTTGGCAGAAAATTTGAAAGATTTTCCCCAAGGAGGAGTGAGTTTACTTGTATGCCGCTAAGATTAACTACTTGGTAAATGCATTTAAAAGCCAAAGGACAAAGGTTACCATAGAAACAAGGGTCCAACTCCTGTCACAAATCAACAACATACCAGCATACAACTGTGCTTTGCAGATTTCAATAAAACAATTTAGAACATTTCATTGACTGAGGTCCCTCAGGTCTCTCTCTTTGGTCTCTCTGTTTGGTCCCTCAGGTCTCTCTTTGGTCTCTATGGTCTCTGTCTCTGGTCTTGATATTCTACTCAACTTAGTCTTTGATGGAGGTGGGCAGAATTGTGTCATAACTGCATAGCGACAGTACCAAGTTGATCCACGAGATGGCAGTGTTGCTTCAGAACATTTTACTGAGCAACATTCGACATTGATCTTTGAAAAGTGGATTTCTGTTACTGAGGGGCTTCCCACTGAGATGTAAATGTGCTCTAGTGACAACAGCACACAGCCTTCAGTTCTATGCTGTGGGAAATGGTCTTAACCTGGGGAGCAGTAATGAAGTCAAGTCTATAATAAAGCCTACTGTTCCAGATCACCTCCAACTGAGTCTATACAGTCTTTGGCTCAGAGGTGTCAGAGGTCTCGGAATATGGCATGTCATTTCAATCTGAATTTTAATAGGGCAATGCAGTGCGGGGGTTTTGTGATTATAAAATTAAAAAAAGATGATCAAAGAGCAGGTTTCTCGGACCACTGATGGAAAGTTCTCTGATGAAAAGTATGCACCTGTGATCTCACCTGTTACTTGGCTTGTTGTTGTATCAACCCTTTAACATTCACTCTTTGAAGAAAAGCAATTTGGTTTTTATTTTTCTAAGATGTAGGAGCACTAATAACACAAATCATTTGTTTTTACGATTGCTTATTTTGAACCCCTATTTTTTTTTTTTTTTTTTTTTTTTTACTATAGACCTTTACTAAATGGTTGAGATGCAGTTTGATGGTAAAGGTTAAACAAGATTCACAGTGCATAGTTGAGACATTATGTATTTTCACATTGTATTTTTTTGCTTGATCGTAAAATCACGAATTTGTTTTTTTGAGTAATAAAACCATTTTGGGGAATATTAAGAGAGAAAACAAACGCCCCCCTTAGAAATGCTTGTTTTTATTCTCTTTTTATGCCAGTGTTATGGAGTCAACCCATTTCTGCTTTTTCCACAACACATCCATAAAACAAAAATCTGTGGATTTGTGTGATATTGACTGAGGTTTATTAAGAGGTAATCCTGGAGATTACATCAGGAAATCCATCCAAGACACTGAGTCCTTCACGAGTCTTCCATTCATTTTTGTTCCTGCATTCTCCACAAAACCCACATCTTTAAAGACTGTAATTAACCCTCATTATACAATTCTCTCATCAGCACATTATCCTCTCTCAGATACAATGTTTGTTTTCTTATTCTGCTAAATGCCTGAGACAGCACTTGGCAGCACAGATAAGATGCACTGCAGAAATGAAGCTGATGTCCATAGCGGTAATTAACGCGTGTTGGCATTTGGAGCTCCATTCTGCTAATGATATGCATGATATTAATTAAGAGAAAGTGATTAACATATAAGCACTGGATGTGTCCCGGGGTAGACGCAGCAGCGGGCGGCTCTCCCTGAAGACATTGGCTCATTAATATGTCCCAACAGGCGGCTCCAACCTTGACAGGTCAGAGTGATTCTTAAACTTTGTGGATTTTTAACTTTTTTATAGTCATACAACTTTAGTTTGTCTTCTTTGTCTTGCTTTTTTAAAACTTCTGTGTACTTTTGGCCCTCTTCAAACCTATTTGGTTTAAGCGTTTATGAAGAAAAGAAACCAAAGCCATAGCATAAAATAAAGAAGACTAAAATTCACTCCCTTTTTCAGTCCTCTTTCTTTGCCTCCTCAGCTCATGGGTTTAGTATCTCAGTTTCTGCCATCTCCTAAACCAAGATATTGTGTAACTTTCTGCAGAAATGAATTTTTACAGTGATTTAAAGTGTAATTTGGTGCACCCCCTCAAAAACAAGATGCTTGGGCTTATCTTCCAAACAAAAACTATTGAAACTATATTTTTTAGAAAAGGTTACACATCTAGGCTTTAATTTAGCCTTTTCTACATCTACAACCTACGAACATAAGTATGCAGTTGAAGTTTAGTATTGCTGCTATAGCATATCCTCCAGAGGCCCAAGGACACGCTGAAAGATCACCTCCTCCTGCTCTTGTTATCGAGGTGTGTCTGTCAGAGTGGACAGCATTCCTCAGGGACAGGCTGTTGCTGCAGTGATGAGGCCGCAGGGTGGGCTTCTGTCCCGGGTGAGCCCCCTCACTTTGACCTGTCCCATCCCCGGAGTGGTTAGGCCCGATAAGTGTCCTCCAGCGGCACAGATTTGTCACAGATGGATGCTTGAGCTGAACATCCATAACTGCAGGGAGCACCACGCTCACCCGGGACACAGGACTGAGCTCTCTCACATCTGACTGCACTGACATACATAGGAACTAGGGCAGCTATGGCACTGAGCACCCTCCTGCCCTGCTCAACCTACAACAGCCTGCAATGGCAAATATGGCTCGGAGGCTATGGTTTCAATGTTAAATCTATATTTGCAATGGTTTTTTCAACTGACCTTTCAAATCTGCTCCATTCACTGTCCTTTTAGATGAGTGAAATAACAAGCCGCAATCCTCCACAAGATTTACCAAAAGCTGACCATCTGTATTTGTTTAATTTTTTGTTTTGCATGTGCATATTTCCAAGAAGTCTGTAGCAATGCACTGCAAAGTATTGTAAGACATTGTCAGTCTAAGTAAGTAAGTAGTCTTTATTTATATACCGCCTTTCACAGAGCAGGGTCACAAAGCGGTTTACAATTGTGGTCTCTCACTCCGCACAGAGATGGGAGCGGGTCGCCAGTACAGGAGGCGCATGCCAGACCTACTGTACATGTAGTGGTTGGGGAAACCGGAGTACCTGGGGAAACCGGAGTACCTGGAGGAAACCTATGCAAACACAGGGAGAACATGCAAACTCCACTCAGAAAGGCCCTGTTCCGAACCCAAGACCTCCTTATATAGACATTATTATATAGATATTATTATAGATTCATGTTATAGATTGGAGGTAGGATTCAGCTCTGATCGCATCATGATGGCCTGTTCTTCAATAATGGCAAATATCATGTCTGTATGATTGTAATGTGAGTGATGACTTATGAGCAAGAAGCAGAGGGATCTGTTAACTTTGGCTAAGACCGCTACACTTAAGTAAAAAGGGAATAACAACATCGACCTGGATTAAATGAGCCATGAGAAAGATAGCAGATAATCACAAGCATCTTTCAATTCCTCATCAAACGTGGTCCTCTCTTGTCACACAAACAAACAGTAGCAAATGCTGCGGTGTTATTGATCATGAATGGTCCTTCTCACATTCTAATGACTGCACCATGCACACTGGAAGCCTAATTATCATTTACTCTGTGTAACCTCCGCTCAAGTCCAGGCTTCATTACTCAGCAGGACAGGGGGCTGCACTGACCCCACGTCCCGTCTGCACATCACACTCATTAGCAGAGGCCAGCCCAGGCATGGACGCTGCCACCCTCAACCCCAACTATTGATGATGTGCACCAGACACCGTCTCTGTCTCCAGCAAGGACAGGCACGTGACTCTTCGGCTACATTGGTGACAAAACATTATAATTGGGAAGACAAAAGAGAGCACTCAAGTTTTGTAAAAAAAAATAAAATAAAAAAAAGCAAGTTGAGAGTGTAAAGTTGGCTAGATCTTCATCAAGCAGCTTTTTGAGATATTGTGGCTTTGAGAGACTAGAACTATAATTAATGTTTTCATGATTTGAAAATGTTGTGTTTGAATTGTGCGATACAGACACAATTGCCTTGTCTAATTTCACGGTTGAGTATGTGAATTTTTGTGTAGGAATGTGTACATGTTTTATTAAAAAAGTTCATTATATTGTTTCCATCTCCACCCTAATGTACTACTATTAGTGTCCACTGGAGGGCACTCTGACGCTATTATGTCCCCTGAGCGACAAGTGCTTTTTTATTGTTGTGTTGTATGGACGAGGAATCTATTTTAAGGATTCATAACAATTATATCCTTCATTAAACACACATTTCCAGGAGATATAAAATAGTCTACAAGCCGGGTTACCATTATGGATCCAGTCAACAGAAGCCTGATTCAATGCAAATAAGTCTATAATGCAGTAGTTAAATTTAGCTTTTGAATCTAACAGCAAACTCAATCTGCATGATTATTGAATAAATAATAATGTAAAGGGCTGTCTTTTTTGTAATTTTTTTTCACATAAGCGACTTTCCCCCTGCCTCTGAGTGAAAGGCACACTACCTCTCTTTCTCTCAACCCTCTGATCTTGTCACTCCCCTCTCCCCCTTCCGGACGTCCCAGACAAGGATCTCTGACTTAGGTATCCACACAGAGACCCCCCTCACATGAACTACCTGCTAAGATCAGGAGGAGTCACAATCACATCACCATCAGGCATCTGCTTTATTTCACTGACAGTTTTACAAAATGAAAATGATCGAAGTAGGAATAACACTTATGCATTCAGTATAGTTTATGTGATATTAAGAATCTATGTCCGAGGTAGAGTTATCTTACATGCTTTTCTTAATTGTCATGTGTTATGTTATATTTTGCCTGATTTAATCTAGATTATGTTTTGTTTGTCAAGCAGTTTAATAATTTTATCTTAATTTCATTGCATCCAAACAGCTCCCAAGCAAAGCATCCAGTCTTGTGACGCTGAGTTAATAAATAAAATAAATACTACCACTACTACTACTACAACAACAACTACTACTACTACTGCTACTACCTACCACTACTACTACTACAACAACAACTACTACTACTACTGCTACTACTACCACTATTACTACTACCACTACTACTACTACCACTGCCACTAGTACCACTACTTCTACAACTACTACCACCACTACTACCACCACTACTACTACCACTACCACTACCACTACTACTACTCCTGTAAGTCCTCGCCAGTGCCCAACTCCTACTTTGTGTGTGTATGTGTGTGTGTGTATGTGTGTGTGTGTGTGTGTATGTGTGTGTGTGTGTGTGTGTGTGTGTGTGTGTATGTGTGTGTGTGTGTGTGTGGTTTGTGTATGAGAGCGCATGAACTACAGGATGGATTGAGCTTGAACGTGTTGTGTAGATGAGATGTGATTGCAGTAACCCCATAAAAAAAATCCTTTTGTCCTTGTTGGTGGGGTATGCCCTCTCCGAGTACACGTTCTTAATACAAGACAGTCATGCGTGAACCACTGAGTCCATTCTTAGTGCTATAGCTGCAGACAATCATGTGGGTGTCAGAACAACACGTCGTGGCTGGGGAATAAAGTCAGGTGCAAGTGACTGCTGCTGCATGGATCACATATGCAGCTTTGGCACTGGTAATTACACTTTCAAACATGTGCCGCTTTTGAAGTGCAGTCAGAAAAGGCACTTTGAAGACTTCAGCTCAGCATCTGGCTTTAACTGAGGAGAGGATATGACATACTCCTCACTCAATATTAATCTCAGTAAAGAACATATGGTAGAAAGATTATCATTTATGGAATTATTTGTGTTGATGTGTTCATTTTCATTTCACATGGCTGAACATCAAATGTGAAAATTGGATGAATTATTCAACAGCATTATAAAAAAGTACTTAATGACAGGTAAAGTAAAAAACATTTAATTAAAGATAGTTAATCTTTTTTGTCCCAATAGTGACAACATTGGTGTGACAGAGCCATATGAGTCACTATTTGATGCTTTTCTGTTTGAAAAGGCTGATCTAAATATGTGACAGTCGTCAAAAATACATAAAGATTTTTGAGAACGAGGAACTGCAAGATTGACATTTTTTGTTGTTTAATAGACTTGGAATACATTAAGTTAACATTTATGGGCATTGGTCATTCACCCCTTACGTACCAATGGCTCTCTATGTTTTTACCGGTGCATCTCTTTTATCATCATCTGTGTTTGAACTGTTTGATTCTCTGATCTGTGTTGGTGAATCGAAAACTTGTGATTTAGGGCTAAACAAAAATAAATGGAATTGAACAGAATTTTTTTTATTTTTTGGGAGTGGGGGTGCCAGTACAGGAGGCACGTGCCAGACCTATTGCACATATTTTTAGTGGTAGGGGAAACCGGAGCATCCGGAGGAAACCTACGCAGACACGGGGAGAACATGCAAACTCCACTCAGAAAGGCCCTGGTCCAACCGGGATTCGAACCCAGGACCTTCTTGCTGAGAGGCGAGAGTGCTATCCACTCAGCCACCGTGCCGAGTTAATCAATTCAAACACATATATTTCAAATGCTAACGGACAATATAATTTCTCTAATCCTAATCTTTATTTACTAGCAAAAAATACATATAATGGAAAATGTCAAAGCTTATAAAATAACAATTTAATTAAATAAACATACTTTTAACAACAATACTTTTATATATCATTCATATTATTATAATTTGTCATTACTTATAGGTGCAGTAAGCGATTTTGTTAGCTTAGCCGTAGCACCAACTCAAAACCACTCCCCCCTCCCCTCGCCTCTCCACCAAACCAAACATCCAGCATTTTCTTTTCTTTGTCACAACAGGGAGAGTGGGAGGCAAACATGAAATTGGCATTTTCTGTTCAGCCCTTTTAGGTTTTAGATAACTCAAGCGTGCACACTCGTGAGAAACAGGAAGAGGGTGAAGGGGGTAAACGCATCCCATTGGTTCGTTGGGGATGAACGAATAACATTGGTTTATTTTTATCGGCCCGCTCCAAAATATTAATTTTTGGAGCCTTTGGCATCTGGTCAATTCCATTACTATTTAAAAACACATGCTAACTTGACTACTTTTAGGGTTTAGGGACATTTTCCCACAACATTTGAAAAAATGCGTCTGTAAAAAATCTCAGACTGCATCTTTAATACATTTAAATAATGACAAGACCAATGAAAAAGTACGATTTATTCTTAAACAGAAGATAAGATAAGATCACACAATGGAGAAATTTACTAACTAGCATGACTCAGGATGTGTTTTACGTAACATAGCTCCAGTGTCCGCTCCATGTTTTAGAAAGAGACAAGTTCTGTTTGGTGGGAACAATTACGTCCCCCTCTCTATCAAGGAAAGTAATGTTCGGCAGCAATTTGTTCACCTGCACCTCTGAACAGCAGGCTTGGTAACAATTACTGGACCAGGAAAGCAAACATTACAGAGTCATTACAATAATGATAGTAATTCAGGCCAGAGGAGAGTATATGCTCCACAGGCTATCCCCCACCTTAGCCCCTCTTCTCTCCCCACATACTCAACGTCAACTTCGCCATCATGTTTTGGACCCTTTCCCTCACTCTGAATGCTTCTTTATGCTGCCTAGTCCCTATACAAACACTGTTATTGATG